TCCATCCTTCGTTCCGATACGAATCGAGAGTGGTACAACAAATTCGCGATTAACGTCCGTTCCCTTCTTCTTCCTTTTTATTTCCATGCTCGTTTCCAATAGTAGCCAAATTGACGCGCGATAATCCAACGATTCTCGAAACTGTATTAGATTTTGATTGCTAAATCCACCGATGCCTACGCAATGATATTACGAATGTTGACTCTCCGAGCATTAACTTTAAATATGTTATATTACAAAAACTATTTTAATTAATTTGCTATGCATTAATATTGCTCGTTTCATTTAAACAAGTAATAATATAACATGTATGATATACAGTGAATTCTAAATTAAGGATTAAATTTTACAGTTTAAAAATGTGGAATTTTTTTTATTTAACTTAATTTAGCTCCATACGTAATATTGATATAACATTGTTTTAAATTTTCTGTATCGGCTCATAAAAACCGTGTGTTTCGTATAATTGTCAGTTGAAAAGTAGCCAGTATTTCCATTTCTATTTCGGATAAAATAAATAACATTAACATATATACAATACATCCTTTATCAAACTTTAACACATTAAAAACTCAGAGTTCCGCACTGTTGATTTAGTTTCGTTTTCTCGAAGTTTTCTACGTTAATTTTTTTGAGCTTTTGCGCAGCATTGCCCGTATATAACGATCACACGGCGAAACAGAGTGCAATTCTACAACACGGGAAAATCTATCCCGCGGCCATAAAGTATGTATAAAACTGGAAATACATTTCGAGCTGGACTGGCGCAATTATTCGCTCGCTCGCCGATCAAGCTCGCATGATTACGTTCGCGATGTCGGTTCCGCTGTTATCTCTTTCTCTTTCTCTCGATTTGATACCGCAGCAACCAATCGAACGTGCTTCACGGTCGAGTTTACTGGTCTTTAATAATGTTTCGCAAATCATCGAGTTGCATTACGGAGTAGCGAGATCCGCTTTTGCAATCTGTTCGGTGAAATCTACGTTATTTAGCATTTTATAGCGCGGTATGTTACAACGCTCGATAGACGTTATATCATAGCGATTATCTTTGTCCGTTACGATGCAGTCTTTTAACGCATTATAACATATTTCTCTTTCTCTCTATATAAAGTCTCTATCTATTTATGAGAGAGAGAGAGAGAGAGAGAGAGAGAGAGAGAGAGAGAGAGAGAGAGAGAGAGAGAGTAG